CTTTGGTACATTGTAGGCCAAACGTTCCTGAAACATACTTCTTGCATATTTGATACGAGCCTTCCCAATTTTGTGCCATTTTCCCACCTTCGAGAGGTTTGCTTTTTTCTCGCTTCCTTAGCACCAGGTCCCCTACTTCGATTGAACGAATTTTAACTTGTTTGTCAAAGTATCTTCTCGTGGCCCTGTGATACTCTTCCATTCGTGCAGCTGCTAGATCCCTTCTTTCTTCTATGAAGTGCAACTCGGCCCGTAGGTTGTCCTCATTCCGCTCTGGGCTATAATGCACCGTTCGGTGTGTAGGAACTAGGACCTCCGTTGGTACTTTTTCCTGGAAGCCATAAGCAAGGGCGAATGGAGTTTCTCCTGTGGCCGTTCGGGGTGTGGTCCTGTAAGTCCATAGGATATAATTTAACTGATCAGGCCATGATGAGGAGTATTCTTCCAGCTTCTTCTTCATACCGTCCATGATGGTACAGTTCTTATTCTCTACTTGGCCATTCGCCTGAGGGTATGCCACGGATGCTCTGGAATGCTTGATTCCCCATTTGATAAGGTAGTTCTCAAAATTCCGGCTCACGAACTGCCTTCCATTATCAGTTACAATCTGTTCGGGGATTCCGAAACGGCAAATGATATTCTTCCAGACAAACTTTTGACATTTGACATCTGTGATGCTAGCCAGTGGCTCGGCCTCCACCCATTTAGTAAAATAATCTATCCCAACGATGATGTACTTGTTGTTCCCAGGGGCAGTAGGTAGAGGACCTAGCAAGTCGATCCCCCACCTAGCGAATGGGAGGGCCACCGTCATTGGAGTGTAGAAAGTGGTTGGCCGTCCGGGGACCGATGCGTATAGTTGTCATACTTTAAATTTTCTAGTATGCGCAAAGCAATCTTGTTAGATGGTTGGCCAATAATACCCTTGCAGGATGATTTTTCTGGCCAGTGTCTTGGGCCCTTGGTGGCTTGAGCAGATGCCTTCATGAATTTCTTCCATTACGGCCGCCGCTAGATCGGGTGGGAGGCATTTCAAATATGGCCCCCAAATGTCTTTTTGTACAACTGTCCGTCCACCAACTCGAACATGGAAGTCCTCCTCTGGATGCATTTTATCTGATAAGCGGGATTTTTATCTTGTGGGAGGGTTCCGTCTTTTAGGTAGTTGGTCATATCTATGACCCAACTGGGGACGACATAAGATATGGCCTCGATCTGGAGCACCATGATTGCCGGGGTTGCCAATGTTTTCTGATGGGCAAACCGTTGGATATGAGCTGGAATCTCCCGTGCCCGATCGTTGAGCGCTGCATTTTCCAATTTGGATAAGATGTCTGCTTCGGTATTTTCTATTCTGGATATTTGGTCGAGCACCACTTGTTCAAATTTGTTTATCTGCTCCTCGACTATCTCTTTGTAAGCCTTCATTCTTTCCTCTTTAGCTTCAACTGTGCCATTTACTTGATTTACCACCATTTGACTATCCGACCGGACTTTTAACCGATCGGCGCCCATGGTCTTCGCATATTTTAAACCCGCAATAAGGGCCTCATACTCAGCCTCATTGTTGGTTACTTTGAAGTCAAAATGAATGGAGTAATATGCTTTGAACCCTTCGGTCGATGTGATCACAGCTCCGGCTCCACAACCCTTGGCACTAGCTGCACCATCCACATACATCTCCCACCAGTTATCCAGCACATTGTTCTCTGAATCTATTTTCGAGGGCCGAGCGGTACATTCTGCAATGAAATCTGCCAGGGCCTGCCCTTTGATAGTAGGTTGAGGCTTGAAATCCACCTCATATTGCCCGATCAGGAGACTCCACTTGGTAATGCGCCCACTTGCCATTGGGTTTCTCAAGATGGTGTCGAGTGGCTGAGTAGTATACACATTTACCGGATGGGTCTGGAAATATGATGCTAGACGTTTAATAGCAGCTATCAAGGCCAATACTGTTTTCTCTAGTAAGGTGTACCTGATTTCCGGGCCGTTCAAAGCCTTACTTACAAAATAGATTGGCCGCTGGATGCCATCTTCTTCTTTCAATAATACCGTGCTCACGGCCAGGTAAGCTACAACAAGGTACATATACAGGTGTTCCCCTGGATCGGGTTTTGTCAAGACCATGGGAGAAGATAGATATGCCTTGAAATCTTCAAAAGCTGTTTGACACTCGGTGGTCCATTCAAAGGGGTTGGCTTTTTTCATGATCTGAAAGAATGGAATAGCTTGATTGGTTAGCTTGGATAGGAACATGCTCAGAGCTGCTAACTGACCGGTCAATCTCTGCACTTCCTTGAGGTTTATAGGAGCCTCCATATCCACAATTGCCTTTACCTTTTCAGGATTGGGCTCAATCCCCTTCTCGCTCATCATGTATCCCAAAAACTTGCCCCTTCTCAAAGCAGAAGCACATTTTTTGGGATTCAGCCTCATGTTAGCTTTCTGCATTATCCCAAACACCTTTTCTATGTCCAGGATATGATTCTCCTTCTTCCGTCTTTTGATCAGGATATCATCAACATAAGCCTCCATTGTGACTCCCAACACTTCTTTGAACAGCATCCCGATCATCCTCTGAAAAGTTGCCATTGCGTTCTTTAATCCGAATGACATGACAATATAGCAAAACACACCATCCGAAGTAACGGACGTTGTTTTCTCTGCATCATCTGAGTGCATGAAGATCTGATGGTATCCCCGGAATGTATCAATGAAGCTCAACAATTCACATCCGGCCGTTTCATCTACTAACAGATCGATCCTCGACACTGGATAAGGGTCCATGGGACAAGCTTTATTCAGATCTGAGTAATCCACGCACATTCTCCAAGTGGATTGTTTTGGAGCTAGGACCACATTGGATAGCCATTCGACGTGGATTACTGGACGGATGTGTTTTATTCTCAGCAAGGTAGATACTTTTATGTCCACCACCACGAACGTCATTCGGAGTGATGCCTTGTGCGTTTCGTCCCCAATTTCAACTAACAATTGGATGGTTCCCTTCTTCCTCGTTTGCCATGTGTTGCATGACCTGAGCCATATCTCGCATGGCCTGAGGATTCCTCCTTAGGGCTTCAGGAATTACAAAGTCCCCATCAAAATGAGGATATGATCCTCGGCTGGATTGTCCCTGAGGGGTTTGATTTCTCGGGGTGTGACTCCTTCCGTGATGGCGCGAACCATCATTTGTGTGATAAGAACTGATTCTGACCATTTTCAAAAACAGTTGTTTTGGAATAATTGAATGTGAAACTTTTTGAACAGTTTCCCACAGACGGCGCCAATGTTGAAGGTAAGTCCCGTAGATCCGAAAGCCCAACACGAGCTTTGGATATATCAGGAATGGATAAGAATCAAAGTGTATAACAAAATATAAAAGATGAATCCACTAATACCCAAAAGCCCACTTGTATTAATTAACCTTTCTGATTACAAGGAAACTTCTCGATCGGTAGGTCGGAACAGTGCTTTTAATAGAGGAAACAAGAGTAATAATGCTATTCTAGAGCTTGAGTATTGAAATGCTAACCCTTACAATGATTTTAAACCTTCTATTTATACTAATGGAGAGCATGGGCTGCTCTATGCTGATTGGCCGTTGCTCCACCGACTTGATCACCCATGCTTCCACTTGCTGATGTCACAATCTGACATTAATTGCACCTGGCCACTTGCTGGTTGCCCGTTGCTCGAACGGTATGCTGGACCTTGCGGATGACGCTGTCAATTTGGCCCAAGTATGATATATGGTCCGAACTCCGTTCGGTATATCTTCTTTCTGGGCCGGCCTTTACTCGGACCGAACCCCGTTCGATATGGATTCTTCAATGGATCCACTCATCATAGGGTAATGGACTCATTGTTTGGGCCGGGTATTTTGGGCCTTTTTAATCCGGGTATTGGGCCTCTGGGTCAATATCCCAACAAAAACTTAGACCCAATTTATATATAACTGGAAACAAATTATGCGATCGAGGGTATAGAAATGAAATATTTATATGAAACAATATTTTGTAAATAATCACCTCACTAGACTGCCTTTACATTTAGGATTTGAGTTGAAATAAATTCTAGTATTAAGCTTTGTGCTATTTGAGTTGAACGTTAATCTAATTGGTTGAAACCAAGTGTCACTTTAGTTCTCTTATTTGCATTGACTGTATGTTCAAACATCAAACCCATCAGCTTACAAATTTAATTATTTTTCAATAAAACAAAAGGTATAGCTCGACGTATTAGGCGCGCAAAATTTAATTTTGATAACGGCCTGGCTAGCACTCCAACATGAGACCTGTAGCAAACGTAAGAATTTTAAAAGAACAGTACTACCACTACACTAATTTCAGGGTAGATCCGATCCGCCCTTGTGCTTGTGAAATCTATTTAGACATGGCTATACTACTGTCATAAACACTAAAATCCGTCTTATTTTTATTCATTAGTACTATATCACCACACAACGATAGTGCTATCATAAATCTCCTACTTATATAAAAGGTGACTTGGATGGATGTCTCTAAATTCCGCTTATTTGCCGTTAATCAGTCTTTCGTCTCTCCCTGTTCATAAATCCGTCTCCTATGCTCCCTCCTCGGTTCTGAATTCGAAATTCGAAATCCATTTCCGTTCCAATTGCTGCCCATCCTCAGCCTATTGTTCTTCCGTCAACCTTACTGTTGAGTTGAACCATGCCCTTTGCGTACGTGTTATTTTATTGTTGACCCGATGTTTAGCCGACTTCTGCTCTTCATTCCAACCCTATCTTTTACATACAGCTGCTTGTATGCTCAAGGTGAGTTTCGTTTTCTCTCCCATACTTGCATTCTTCAAATATCTGATGACTATTTCTTGTATGAGCAAGTGTGTCTCAACTTCTTGATTTCTTTTCTGTTTTCCAAAAAATGTGGCCTTTAAAATCTTCATACTAGTTTTTTGTGATTTGCTCAGTTTTATGATATCCTTTAATCCTTGTACAACACTATGCATTTTCAGATCGAGAATTTCAACATGCCGTACCTAGATATTTTCAGCCATTATGATGATGGTCGGGATCTCACTGATTATGATTTCAACAATGATGGATTCAGTCCTCCAGTTGATGATGTGAATAAAAGGAGATTAGCGTACAGGCATCGAACTATAACAGAAAAGTACACAAAGGTACTTATGGGATATTTCTGGCCATACGTACTGTTTTAGTACTCCCTTTGCCTTAAATTATTTGTTTGCAGGGATTGCATGGCATTCTTAATGAAGATATGAGAAAATGTTGGGAAGATCTTTATGAAGAAACCGATACTTATACAGATAGATGGCTCTCATCAGGTAATTACTATCCTGGTTATTTAGAACATAACTTTTCTATACAAACCTTCATAGTGTATTAAATTGGAAACATTTCATATTTTCATTCAAAACAATCATCCCAAACACACCCCAGAGCTCTCCACTGAAACCATGAAGATAATGTAAATATGTTATTTCATTTCTATTATGATTGGCTTTCTCCATTTTAGATCTTGCAGATGGCAACTTAACTTCGGAGAGCAGACAATACTTATTTCCTGCTCTTCCCAAAATGAATTTCTTAGATATGTTTTCTTGTTTTGTAGACAGGATTTGGGTATTCTTTGGTTAATGCATAAAAACACAGAGCCATGATTTTTAATATCCTATGTATGTGTGTTTTGCTTTTTAGCTCGGGCTTGCTTGGAACAATGTGCCAGTGGGAACTCTGAGCTGACTCCCGGTGACTGCTCGGCTGCTGGTGCTAATGATGGACAGGGTTCTAAATACCAACATGTTAATGTCCTAGCGACTTCTGGGGCACTCATACCGAGCATGGTTAAATGCCTGCTCTTTCGACTGGGTGATATGATTTCTTGTCAGAACGGTTAGTTCCTCTCATAAAACTTTTATCTCGAGACTGTTTGCTATTTGTCATCATCATCATCATCATCATCATCATTATTACTCCAGTGCATAGGTACAGGGATCGCAGACTTAGCCACGATTTCCGTTCCGGATCGCGCTTTCCGGATCGTGGAACAATCGCGTTCGGAACGCTTGAGGTTTGCGTTTCTGGTACGGCGCATCCAGGTTGCAGTACGCGTGCTTGTTCCGGCGGGTACACCGATTCTCCTTCATCCCGTTCGCCGTTCCCTCTAGCATTCAACGAATCGGCAGTCCAACAGTCGTGAATTTTGAATAGTTTTATCGAACTCCAAGCCATAGTCGCCGATTGAATTCATCGCCGTTCCAGAACCGAGGAGCGTCACACAGTAAGAACTTCGTACCTTAAATAACTAAATGACCCGACTTTTCATTTGTTAGTGTGAAACGACTTTTCATTCGTTTTTCACACTTAACGTTTGAGGCAATCACACTTATTTAAAGGCCAGTGCTCAGCGTATCAAGCATTCAAGCTCTCTGCACCTCTCTAGTCTCTACTCTCTGTACTCGGTGTATTCTTTTCTTCAAAATGGTATTTGGCAAGCGTAAATATCTAGAAACACAGTCCAATGATATCACAGATATTACCGTGAGTGATGAAGAAATAATAGAAACTGCTCCTACTCCAGTTGCTACAGAAGAGGTCTGCACCGGAAGTCAAAGTTCAAAGCAGGATAGCAAAGATGACAAACCTTTATTAGAAGAAGTAACCTTTATTAGAGCTCCAACCTCTAAAAATGCAGGGAGTGCCAAGGTTTGGATATGTAAGCATTGTAATCAAAGATTTACAAGCTCTTACACTAGAATACATGTCCATTTCTTTGGTTCTCAACCGGGGAAGAAGGCTGAAATTAAACAGTGCCCTGCTTTGCTCAACGATCGGGAGAAGTATGAATGCTTTTTGAATAAAGTCAAGGCGGCTGAAAAGGCAGGAGTCTCTCGATCCTTGAAAAACTCTATGCTCAATAAACCACAAAGTATTCTTCAAAAAAACCAATTCAAGACTCCTTTGGAATAATGGAGAGAAGTATGGTGGATTTGAAAATCATGAGAGGATTGTGTGCAAATGGTATTCCCTTTAATGTACTGCGCAATCCTCAATTTATAGAAATGGTAAGTGCCATGATCAACAAGGCACCCGCGGGTTACAAACCTCCATCCAGTGAGAAGGCAAGGACGGTTTTGCTAGATGAATGCGTTAGAGATGTGGAAAAAGACCTCACACCGGTTAAAGATACTTGGTATTCACAAGGTGTTTTCATCGCATCCGATGGGTGGTCGAATATCAAGCACAAACCCTTGATCAATGTCATTGCCTTCAACAGTCGCAGTGCGATGTTTATGTATGTGGAGGACTTCTCTGGGTTGGAAAAAACTGGTGTGGCAATTGCGAATTTCTTGCTTGGAGCAATTGAAACCGTAGGACCGAGCAATGTCCTTCAAGTTGTGACCGACAATGCATCGAATTGCAAAGCTGCGGGTAGGGAAATTGAGAAGGTACATAAACACATCTTTTGGTCTCCTTGTTGTGTTCATACCTTGAATTTGATTTTCAAAGATCTTGCCAAAGAACTTGATTGTTTGATGAATACATATGCGAGAGGGAAAGTTATTGTGAAATATTTTCTTAATCACACCCAAGCGTTGACAATTTTTAGAGATAATTCAAAGTTGGAGTTGTTGAAATTTGCCAAGACTAGGTTTGCGTCACATTATATTTTGTTGAAAAGGTTAAGGGATTGTAGAGAGGCTCTTGCTACAACTATTGCTCTTAATTCTTGGAGGGATTGGGTGAAGCAAGGGGATGAAAACACTAGAGTGACCGGACTGCTAGTCGCTGATACTATTAGGAGTGAGGAATTTTGGGGTGATGTGGATAATATTCTTGTAATAACAAAACCAATTTTCTTGTTAATCAAGTTTTGTGACGGTGAAGGATCGAAAATGGGGGAAATCTATGAAAAATGGATAATATGTTGGGAGAAATAAAAGATATCATGGCTACGTATCAATACGCTTCGGACTTTCCAAAAGTAGAGGCTATGGTGGTAGCTAGGTGGGAGAAGATGACTATTCCCTTGCACTGTTTGGGTTTTGCTTATCTCCACGTTTCTATGATGTTTGTTATCTCGAGAAATTAGCACCCGGTGGAGTTGCTAGAAAAGCTCCAAATTTGGACAAAGAATTTGTGTTAGGTGTGATGGAGGCTTTTAAAAAAATTGGTGAAAACCAAGAAGAACAACGGCTCTTGAGAGAACAATTTGCAAGGTTTCACATGAAGAAGGGATTATTTTCTATGACGGCAGCTCAGATGGATGCCGTGACTATGGAGGCCATCGATTGGTGGTTAACATACGGTTCAGAGACACCTGAGTTAACGGAGGTTGCAAAAAAGTTTTGTTACAACCTATAAGTAGTTCCTCGGCTGAGAGGAATTGGAGCCCCTACTCTTACATTCACAGTGTAAAAAGAAATCGTTTGAATTGTAAACGGTTTGACAAGCTGGTGTTCATTCATTCAAACCATTCGTCTTCAATCAAGATTTTCCGAAAGTTATAAAGTTGGGCCAAATAAGAAGTGGGACATTAATCCTGAAAGTGCGTATGTGGAAGGGTCAAGTGCAAGACTCGATGAGCTACAATGGAAAGATTTAGAAGAAGATGTTGGTACTAATGATAAAGGAAAGAGGCCAAGGATTGACTAGTTTGCTGCACACTTATGTTTAATGTTTTGTTGAAGTTTGTTTAATGTTTGTTACTTTGTTTCCTGTTTTGTTGAAGTTGTTGCTGGAATCCTTAAACTTTGTTTACTGTTTTATATGTTTTATTGTTGTTGCAAACATTGTTAAGTTTGTTTAATTTTATTGAAGTTATAGAAGTTAATTGTTTAATATTATACTTGTATTAATTATATTTATACTTGGTAAATTCAATATGTCTATGGTTCACCGTACCATAAACAAAGGGACAACGTACCGCGTACCGAAATCGCGTACCGAAGAAGCCTATCGCGTACAACGTATCGGATTTCTAATTTTGGCGATCCACGTTCCCGTTTTCGTACCGCGATCCATGTGACTTTGCTCCAGTGCCGCAAAGGCTTCCACCTACGGTGGGGTAAGGGGGTCGGATGTACACAGTCTTATCCTTGTACTAAAGCACAGAGAGACTGTTTCCGGATGACCAATAGTGAAAATCACGTCAAACATTGCATGGACTGACCGTTGCTTCATAACAAAGAAGCACAAACAGTTTAGTCAGTCCATTTGCTTTATTCCATCATATTCCCAAGCCAAAAAATAGTGAGTCTTTGGCTCCATTGTAAATGATGGAAAAACTGTTTGCTATTTGTATCTGTATAAATTCATTTAAACCTTTTACAATTTCATTTCACATTAAACCTGTTAGCCTTCCCAAACCTCATAACCTCCTCCCCAAATGATCAAACTTCAAAGTGGCCTACCGTGTGAATTGAATCAAAATGTGCACAAAGTCGAACCCTCTTGTTCGTTATGAGACTGGTCAAGTATTGTAGCCAATACCGAGGATTTATAGTTTTAGTACACAACAATTATGTACTTACATTGATAGCAGAACTCTATAGTTTCTGTTTTATCATCCGAGGGGCACAAATGCAGTCTTGTATCTTTTAGATGGTATTCTTAAAATGCCTTACACATGAGTCTTTAGTCATATCTGTACCCCTCCTCCTAAATTTGGCTTCCAGTATAAACTAAATCAGTGTGTCACTGCATTTCATCGCCTGCAGATCATGTGCTCCCTTATTTGATAGTTTTATTAAATACAGTGTTTACATGGACATGTAAATGCAGAAATAGGCAATTTTGGTACCTCTGAGTTTGTGTACTTGCGTGGTTTATGCAGCAATAATAAAACAAAAATCAAATTAAAACAAATATGTGAAAGGACTAACTTAGGGAACACGATGAAATCTGGTGTGGTCTGAAAGCCTTTGAATTGTGCAGAAATAAGCAAAACCATATATGAGAATGGTCCTTTAGGTACTGGATCATTCTGCTTACAGCACCAAACATGTAATTTCCCCTCCAACCAGGACTACATTTAGGTGGAAAGGAGTCATTTTACGTCTAACAATGGTCATGCAATGTAGGTTTTAATTATGCAACACTACTACCAGCGCATATAAAAAATGTTTTTTCGTCTGCATAATTAATTCCATTTATCAGTCTACAGTTCATGGGATGTCGGGAAGATACAATGCTTTAAATGGATAAAGGAGCGGTTTAGTGTCCAGCAGAACGTGCAGTTTTGTGTCATTGGAGATGGATGGGAAGAATGTGAAGCAGCGGAAGCCATGAGATGGCCTTTTGTTAAAATGGATCCGTCGTGTTCAACCAAGTATCACAGGTTCCCGGGCCTCACCTCGAAACACTTTGATCTTTACCTTGCTGTTGTGTATGAAAACCGCAATGATGACCAAGAGAATCTCAAATCCCCATCTGAAACTACATGACCTAGTCCAGGAATCCATGATTGGATTATCATCGAAGTTACGGGTAGGAGAGTTAGACTTCCTTTATACTGTAAAAGAAAGCAAACTAAAGTCGCCTTGAGCTTGTCTACCCAAAACACAAATTGTTGTATATATCATGTCTCTCAACTGAGGTCAAAGCTTCCTTTCATCTCCAAAGTTATGTACATGTTTTTTTCATTAGTGCCTTTTTATTAGAGGGTTCACAAGAGGAGATGGAAAGTTTGCCTTTATCGAGTCTTGACTGTATAAAGTCTTAGCTCTAAGTAACCAAGTATTCCACCTCAGCTGGTTGTGAGGTTATCGTGCCTAGTGGGAGGTTTCGAGTTCGAAACCCGCTAGGCACATGAGGAGTTGAAGCTCAATAGGGTGAGTTTCAGCTTTGATTACTCCAGCCCCCCAGACCCCCTTTGAGTAAAAAAATAAAAAAATTAATCTTTAGAACCTCCTATTAGTTGTGCTTTTCCTATTCAGATGGATGTTTTTGATGTTCTGTGTGCGTGCATCCTGCAGCACCGATTGTATTTTGATTAGATCGAATAAAAACCTCTCCTAACCCCAACACTAGGTAGGGGTGGGGGAGGTTTTAGGAGATCTAGAACCTTTTTGATGTATTTTTTTCTGGGTGTTAATATATATTTATGTTAGTCCCAGAATTTAACATTCAACAATCATAACAAGAAGAATAAGAAGCAGATAGGAAGAAATCGACAAGATAAGAACCGAATCTGGTATACCGTATGAACCTGCCGCTACTCTCCTGGAGAAGGAGAGCAGCGGCAACCCTAATATCTCTCTATCTCGCCTCTGCGTCTCTAAGCCTCTATCGATCGTAGGGTTCCCGTAAGTTAGCCTCCTTTTATAGGAGAAGTTGGCTAACTTACGGGTTACAAGGAAGCCCACGGGCTGATACACATTTGTGGCCCGTATTACACGATTAATTAATAACTACACAAATACAAAGATAACTAACTAGATTGAACACCATAAAATATTCCCAACAATTTACATTTCATCAGGTGTAATGTTTTCAATAGGCTCCTTGAAGTCCAATTTTCGCTTAGATTGGTGGCCGGACTCGGCCACATTGGTGTTTGTGAAGTCACTCTCAGAAACATCCAGCTCATTTGAAGTCTGGCAGATGCAAATAACTCCGTAAGCATTGCGTTGTGGGCCTTCATCATTTTTCTTTGCGTGGCGTATTCCCAAAACAAACTGCAACTTGCCAACTTTCTCATCAAGCGTTTCCAAGTTAAGCTCACTTGATGGTTCGTGACCTACACATTGCATGATGATAAGAACATCATTTTTGAACAAAGTAATATCCACAGATCCTGATGTGTCAGTAACTGTAGCTGCCATTCTGGACCTAGAGAAGAAAGGGGCAAATATGTTAGTTACATTTCTAAAATGCAAAAAACGCAGCCTTAAAAAAGTATGAAGTGAAACCTCTTAACACTGGTGCCATTTTTTGTCCACAAAACAGGCATTCAAATGTAACACCTTCATCATAATACACTCTCCGATTACAGTAGTTGCAGCCGATGTAATAACCTATTTTGGTAGTATTTGTAAGGCTAATTGTGCCGGTTACCCACGCAACTTGACTCTGTTTGAAATAAAAACATTTAGATGCATGGTAATCAGAACATTAAAGGTGAAGGATGGATTTTTTTTGAAAGTAATAATAACTATTACCTGTTTGAGCTGCTCAGGCAATGAAGAAATGGAGATTTTAGGTTTAGTGAGAGGGTTTACAAAAGAAGTCAGTTTGTTGTATGCTTTTTCGCTCAACAATTCAGCAACTTTGTTGGGAGACTCATGCAACCTATTTAAGTAGTTTTAGGTCATTATGTATAGAAGTTTTGGGGTGGTAAACTTGTAGTAGTTCTTAAAGAAATCTTACCATTCATTGAGCAATGTAGCCCTAGGCCTGGTGGGATTGACTTCTATGTTTTTGTCAGACCGGGTCGACAATGACAAACCTGATAGCATAAAGTAGATACTGAGTTCTTAGAACAAATAAGGTGCATACAGATACCTAGTGCAGAATATGTACCCTGATACAAGTTGATTGCAATCCTATGAAGGAGAACAAGTGGGCAACGAATTTGTTGCAGCTGAGCAACTATTTCACGTCCTTGTTTTTCAACAAATGCTTCCCACATTGTCAGCACTATTGGTGTAAACCTATTATGGTTAATGGAAATGCAATATCATAAACAAAGAGACATGAATAAATATAACTATTAGTAATAAATGATCCGGGCTCATACGTTTCATCAACCAGAACAAAATCATATGCAGGTTGTTGACCATCATCAGCGACTATGAACTGCGTGGGCTGGTTGCAAATGACAGTGGCCAACACATCTATAATTCAATTAACAACTCGTCAATAAGTGATGGTCCAAAGAAGTGTATATACCAAATGTGTATCACTTACTAAAACGTTCATTGTTGAGGTATGCATCGAAGAAGTCATTAAATGGTTTCGTGCCACTCTCTGTGAGTAGATGGAAATTAATTTCATCTTCTTCGGGGGCATCTTGATCAAAGTTCTACGGTTGAATGACCACACAAATTTGTAGTTTTGGTCAGGACACAAGCGTGGGTCGTAGGCGAGCTTGACATAAGCGTTTGATACAAGGTAAGCAGAGTAAAGTTTCAATCGTTGGTCAATGGCTTGAATGTCATTCTTGAATGATGTCGCTTGAACCTTGTTTCCCTGCGTTATGTTGTAAAATGTAAATTAAGTAAGCTATATCAGTAGTAAGATACATAGAGACGAGAGTAACAAAATGAAAATAGGATAAAAAGCATTCAAATTGTATGAAATTACCGTCGAGTCCATGAGGATAAAAACCTTATACTTTGTAGGGGATTTCTTAGCCTGCTTGGTGTTCTTCTTTTCAATGGAGGTTACCTTACAGGTCCATGATCTAGTTTCGGGAGTCACTTGTGTGATTAGAAGCACCTCAGCCATTGGTGCAGTGATGGTTGAGCTGCATAAGTAAAACCACTTGTAAGGAGAGTTTGTAAAACTAATTAAGAAAGAATTTCTATGAACATTCCCCCCAAAAATTTGTGTACGAAACACTTATACTAAAGTAATTAACGGACGACTCATTTTTGTAGGATTAGTACCCTATTTAGTAAACTAATCCAAAAAATTCCAAACGTGCATAGTATTTTGTATTGTTTATTTCCAGAACACACAATTGTAAAAACAATGAAAGTATGGCCTCGAAAGTGAAGTTAGAATGTTCTTTTCCAAGAAAAGTTAAAACATAAATGTGGAATGAAGTGAGAGAAAATGAGGTAAATGACCTGGGCTTTCTTTTTTCGTTAAGCAATATATGCTAAGATCTCATCGTACACAATGTTTCACGTTATGTTAGTGAGTTGACTTTCATCTTCTTCACAATGGATGGCCATTTTAATGGACGAAGTATTCCGTGCCCGTGACATAGCCAAGCATTCGATCGAATCATGTCAGCTATCCTAACAAATGATGTCGGTGTATTAGCCACAATAAGGGCAAGAAAGTGGGTTGCATTAGCCACGGCTAGCTCTAGTATTGCTGTGTCCATTTTACCCGGTGGTCGGACAGCTCATTCTCGGTTTCAACTGCCGATAGATGGGGATAGTAAGTATACTTGCAATGTATCTAAACAAAGTGCTGATGCCCGACTGATTAAAGAATCAAGATTAATCCTTTGGGATGAAGCATCCATGGCAAATCGATCTGGCCCAATTATTCGCTCAGAAAAAAATGATTTTATAGATGCATGCCTTGTTAGATCTCCTACGATCTGGCCATCTGTACAACGACTATAACTCATCAATAATATGAGAGCACTTGAGGACCCTGAATTCTGCCGTTTATTGATGCGCATAGGGAATGGGACTGAAAAAATGTTGAACCTAAATGAATCAAATTGCTTCGCGATTTCATTGTTTCTTGCACAGATGCAAACGCCTCATTGGATGCACTTTGTCGTGATGTTTATCCTGATTTAGATGCCTATCACCTTGATCCTTATGCACTAATGTCACGCTCCATCCTAACAACACGAAATGAAATTCTTAACTCAATCAATGTGAAACTAATGGATAAATTTCCAGATGAACCGCGTGTGTATATCGTCCACGATGAACCCATAGATTCAAAACAAAGTCATTGTGAAGACTATTTGCACTTGTTATCACCCGCTGGTCTGCCCTCACACAAATTAGTTCTTAAAAAATTGCCCTATTATGCTTTTACGAAAACTCAACCCTTGTGAAGGCCTTTGCAATGGGACAAGACTCATATGTGATTCATTTGGGGATCACATACTTAGTTGCTTCATCGCAATTGGTGATCACAAAGGCAAACATGTGTTCATCCCTAAGATTCCCCTCGAACCTTCTAAAGATAAGAATTGTCCTATTCCTTTCAAGCGAACACAGTTTCCCGTTAGGGTTTGTTTTGCAATGACAATAAACAAAGCTCAAGGTCAGACACTTGACTTTGTCGGCATATATTTGAGACAACCAGTTTTTAGCCATGGTCAATTAAATGTGGCTATGTCGCGGGCACGGAATACTTCGTCCATTAAAATGGCCATCCATTGTGAAGAAGATGAAAGTCAACTCACTGACATAACGCAAAACATTGTGTACGATGAGATCTTAGCATACATTGCTTAACGAAAATAAAAAACCCAGGTCATTTACCTCATTTGCTCTCACTTCATTCCACATTTATGTTTTAACATTTCTCGGAAAAGAACATTCTAACTTCACTTTCGAGGCCATAATTTTATTGTTTTTACAATTGTGTGTTTTGGAAATAAACAATACAAAATACTATGCACATTTGGATTTTTTTTGGATTAGTTTACTAAATAGGGTACTAATCCTGCAAAAATGAGTCGTCCGTC